CACCTCTCCAATCAACTTTTTAATCAAGGTACGCTGTTCTTCTGAACAATGTCTGGAACGACTCATTTTCCTCAGAATTTCAGAGAGAAATGCACTGTAACCAGCATGTACTACATTTGCTGCCTTCCTTTCTTAAATAAGGGCAATAATTGCCACTTGTTTTTCAAAGAATAAATGACCTCACTAATAGAACTCCACACTGCTATTATTTTGAACATGCCCCTTTCAATTAGTAATTCAATTACACAGAATCAGCAGCATGCATGTCATGACTGTTGGGTCTGTTGGATTTCTATTACTCTACTACACCTGCTAGTAAGTTATTTGCCATGTAGAAATATAATTTCTACCAAAAACAGTGATTGATCAGATTAGTGATGTCTGACTGCTATTATTTTGAACACAACTGTACCTCCTGGAATCTATCTGCCCTTATCTCAGGCATACAATCAGGAGAGTGTGCTTAGCTGAGAAAGTCCCTCCTCCCCTCCTGAAGACTCCTGGAATGTATGACATCATTTTGGCCTAGGCCAGAAACCAGGAAGTAGAGTCAAGAAAGTTTAAAACAAGCAAATATGATATATTTTCCTATGTATTTAGAGAATAGAAAATAAGCAGTCTTTCCACTTTTAGGCAGTAAATAGGAAAAACAGGCTTTCTAGGAGCATATAAGTCCTCCTGATAAGCAGCAGGTATATACTTCTCAAACATACGAATCCAAGCAGGAAAATGCATTGTAGACTCACCTGGGTATGTAAAAAAAGCACAGACTGCTGTGGAGATGAGAAAGCCATACTCATCAACAATCTTGTGCCCTGTAGTCTGGGAGGCAGAGTACTTAAATATTACTTTATAATCACGCTCTGACATCAATACAAATTAGTGCAGCCTTATAAGTATATCACAACTTAACTGGAACTGAAATTAACACACCAGGTGTGTAAGATGCCTACATTCCGTGCTGCGGTTCTGCCCGCCTTTTAATGTGTAAAAATACATATAGCTGTAGCTCCCTCTGGTGTATATAGCCGTTGAGAGTAGTTAGAGGCTTGCTAGAAGCCTGAGTTTAGATGAAGGTTACTTCAGGTTAAGCTGGAGGGCTCTACATGTCAGTCATCTGGTACCTCTCCCTGCTCTAGCTGGGACAAGCTTCTAGAAGTCAGTAGGCAGAGGTGAGAAGGGCCTGATCTGCATACTTATGGGAGTCTGACTGATCTCAAGCAGGAGGCCTGGCACTGTGGCAGACCAGCCCATAAATATGACAGACCCTGGCCAGCAGCGGGAGTCGTGTGGAAGATGGAGTGCTGAGAGGTGCTGCTGAGTAGCCTGGGAGGGGGCCCCATAGAAAAGGGCTTCTGCCTCCAGGCTGAAGGCTGGAAGCTGAAAGAGGAGAGCTGAAGGAGGGATTTTCACTGCCCTGCAGTCCACTGGGGAAGGACAGCCTACAAAGTCTGGAGAGGTACCAGCCCGGCTAGAAGGCCTGAAAGCAGTTTTATCAACAGCTGCAGGACAATAACAGTGTGAGTACTTCTACACTCCCAGGGCCTATAAGAGAGAAGTCTGCTGGATGCAAGTTCTTGGTAAGTCTTCGGGGGACGGTTCATGGCTTACCAAATCCCTTGTCCTGGGATCAGATACTGTAGCCAGGTGGGCCGGAATTTTGTTCTCTTTGAGGACTAAGAGCTACAAGTTGGGAATTTTGCTAAAAATCCACTCAAGGGGACTCAGATCCCCTGCAAGCTGTCACTTTACTAGAGACTGTCATGGTTCTGGCTGGAACACAGTCATTCATTAGCCATTTTTTGTATCATTTTGGAGAAGGAAATTCTTTTTAATTGTTATTCTGCAATCAAGTTGGGCATCCCATAACCTCTTTACCTTATCTAAGTTAAATTCTCTAATAAAACCTAAAAACCAAGCCCATGGATTGTTTCTTGCATCTGGATACAAGTGGAAAATGCATATTGCCTGGCTGTGCAGGAAGTAAAAGGGGACCAAAACACAGTGGCTCTCAAGAGGGTAGTGAATTTTCACAGTTTACTACAGAATGTTTATTTTTACCATGCTCAATGTGTTAAACTAAAAAATGCAGAGGATTTAACACTACTTTATTTGTCTGAGCTTCACAGGTGAAACAATTTGCCAGTGTTTCCGATATAACCTAGGACCTATAAAAGAGTTAATGAAGGATAGAAATATATACTAAGTGTATTTAAATATTTAATTAGAATATGCTACATCTTAGATAGCAACATTGTTGATAATATGAACCAGGTTCTATTGTTATTAGAATGCAGAGTGCCTTTGTGAACTGTAATGGTTCATTATCATTAGCAAACTACTTTAGCCAATTTATCAGAAGGCCAAAAAGAAATAAGACGATGGGTCCCTCTGCTGTTAGAATGATGAATCATTCCTTTGCATCAGGATGAAAGGCAGTCTTTTGAACCTGGTTTTCCACTGTAGAGGCTGTGTTATATTTAGCAGAACCACTACCAAACCTTTAAAAAAATAGCTATTATATTTTTTTATAATTATTATACAGGATTTATATAGCGCCAATAGTTTGCGCAGCACTTTACAAAATGAAGGTAGACATTACAGTTACAATACAATTTGGTACAAGAGGAAACAGAGGGCCCTGCTCGTTAGAACTTACAATGTAGGAAGAAGGGTTGAGTGTCACAAAAGGTAATAGCTGTGGGGGGATGAGCTGATGGAGGAAATAAATGGCGGTTTACTAGGTAGAACCAGGATAGGCTTCTTTAAAGAGAAAGGTTTTCAGGGATCGTCTAAAGGTGGATAGATTAGGAGACAGCCAGACACATTGGGGTAGGGAGTTCCATAGGATGTCACTTCTTGACATCATTCTTTACTACTTGTGAAACCTGTGAATGATCACAGAGGTCACATGACATCACATGGTACAAGGCTATTCACAACAACATGTGAAAAGCTGTGACCAATCACAGCTCTCACAGTATTTCTCAATGGCTACAGGAATGCAGCCAGAGAGAAGGTGAAATTATTGCTTTTACAGCATTTATGGGTGTAAAAGCAACCAGTGTAAAAAGAAAGTAGTAGAAGTGTCACTATACTTTTTTATAAACTAATTTGGGTTATTTTTTTTATACCAAAAAGATAGCTGAATACATTTTGGCCAAGATTTCTGAAAAAAAGATTATTTATTTGCAAAATTTTATAAGAAAAACACTTTTTTTTCAATTTTTTTTCATTTATATAGCCAAAAAATAAAAATTCCAGTGGTGAATAAATACCACCAAAGTTTTTATTTGTTTCAAAAAAATGCTAAACATTTCATATGGGTACAGTGCTGCATGACCGCACAATTGTCATTCAAAGTGTGATAGAGCCGAAAGATGAAAATTGGCCTGGACTAGAAGGGGGTAAAAGTGTCCGGACTTGAAGTGGATAAAGAAAGTATTTTAATTTTATTTTAAAGTATTTTAATTCTTCTTTAAAGAAAATGCCTACATCACCTGCTACTCAATGTGGTTCTTCCCAGGACACAGTAGTGATGCAAGGGCTGGTGGCAAGAACCATTGGCCACAGTAGAGGATGCAGTTTTTCTACACTTGCGGAAGTGTCAGATGCTGAGGTCTTTGCCCAAGTATGCACTGCATGCCAGAGAGATCAGTATTTGCTCCAACAATAGAACACTATGAATACCTTCCTTTGCTGCAAAGTCATATTCATTCTATACTGCACCTTCCATGCTCCCTGGTTCTTCCCAGGACACAATAGTGAAGTAGAGGCTGGAAGGAAGAACCATAGAGATCAGCAGGATACACAAGCAACCAGAATCTGGGGAAGTGTCAAAAGCTGAAGACTTTGGTGGAGGCTATACCACACACTCAAAAGATAAGTATTTGCTCCTGCATTAGAAGACTGTGAATACGTACCTCTCCAGGGTGTGCAGTGCAACCTCCAGTAAAGGGGTTGATTTTCTAAAACTGGAGAGTACAAAGTCTGGTGAAGCTCTGCATGGCAGCCAATTAGCTTCTGACTTCAGCTTGTTCACTTAAAACGGAACTATGCTCACCTTGAATCCAGCAATTTGCCACCCCCGTAACTCTACGCTGACATCTTTGGTCGGCCAGCTTCCGGGTCTCAATCACTGGCCACTGTCATTGGCCATGCTGTGCGGGAGTTCCATCAGATTTGGCATTGCTTAATTTGCACTGTGAGTTGCGCTTGTGAACCTAAGGCTACGTTCACACTAGCGTTGTGTGCAGGCGGCAGAGAGGCGTTTGGGAAGCGTTTTTACCGCTTACCGCTTCCCAAACGCCTCTGCCAATTCTGCACATTACAGCACATGGTGCTGTTCTAACGGGAGCGTTTGCGTCGCGTCGTGGCAAAACGGACGCCTCTGGTCGAGTCAGGAGGCTTTGAAGCCTCCTATTCTCGTCTATGGTGCCGCTCTGCAAACGCCCGGCCGGCGTTTGCGGTGCGGTTGCGACGCGGTTGCGGGGCATTTGCGGAGCGGTAACACCACTCAAACTGTATTATAGGCATTTGTGGGGCGTTATTAACGCTCGGCAAACGCCTAGCAACCGCCACTAAACCGCGCATGCGGCGTTTGCGGAGTGTTAAAAAAACGCTCCGCAAACGCCGGACCAACGCTTGCCAAACGCTATAGGGCAGTGATGGCGAACCTTTTTGAGCCCGAGTGCCCAAACTGCAACCCAAAACCAACTTATTTCTTTCAAAGTGCCAACACTGCAATGAAACCTGAATATCGAGCTTTTGGTTTAGAAAAAAACAACTCGTACAGTAGTGCAAACTAATTAACAGTACAGGGATGACCAGAGACTGCGGACAGTACAGGGATGACCAGAGACTGCGGACACAGTACAGGGATGACCAGAGACTGCAGACACAGTACAGGGATGACCAGAGACTGCAGACACAGTACAGGGATGACCAGAGACTGCGGACACAGTACAGGGATGACCAGAGACTGCGGACACAGTACAGGAGATGACCAGAGACTGCGGACACAGTACAGGGATGACCAGAGACTGCGGACACAGTACAGGGATGACCAGAGACTGCGGACACAGTACAGGGATGACCAGAGACTGCGGACACAGTACAGGAGATGACCAGAGACTGTGGACATAGTACAGGAGATGACCAGAGACTGCGGACACAGTACAGGGATGACCAGAGACTGCAGACACAGTACAGGGATGACCAGAGACTGCAGACATAGTACAGGGGATGACCAGAGACTGCAGACACAGTACAGGGATGACCAGAGACTGCAGACACAGTACAGGGATGACCAGAGACTGCGGACACAGTACAGGGATGACCAGAGACTGCAGACACAGTACAGGGATGACCAGAGACTGCGGACACAGTACAGGGATGACCAGAGACTGCGGACACAGTACAGGGATGACCAGAGACTGCAGACACAGTACAGGAGATGACCAGAGACTGCAGACACAGTACAGGAGATGACCAGAGACTGCGGACAGTACAGGGGATGACCAGAGACTGCGGACAGTACAGGGATGACCAGAGACTGCGGACACAGTACAGGGATGACCAGAGACTGCGGACAGTACAGGAGATGACCAGAGACTGCGGAAAGCACAGGGATGACCAGAGACTGCGGACAGTACAGATGACTGCTGACCTTTGGGGAGGGAGGGGGAGCGGGTACCTGAATTTGACAGGTACCCGCTCTTACTTCCACAGAGTTTTTTTTTTATCTTACCTGTTCCTTTATCCAGCCGCGCGTTGTCTTCCCGGCTTCTGTAGTGTGGGCGCTCGTCGGACAGCCGGATGCCCAGTGCGCATGCGCGAGAAGCGCTGCGCTTTGTGATTGGTCCGGCGGCTTCTGGGATCTGTCATGTGTCCCAGGTACCGCCTTACCATTCACAAAGAGCACTGCTTCTTGCGCATGCGCACTTGGGACCCGGCTGTCACGCACACTACAGAAGCCGGGAAGACAGCGCGCCGCTGGATAGAGGGACAGGTACGGTCCCACTGCAGAGCTGAGCGGCCGGCCCGGTATTCTGACACGGCGGCGGTGGAAATACCGGACCGGCCGCTCTATATTCGCTCCATAAGACGCACTGACATTTTCCCCCCTTTTTTGGGGGAAAAAAAGTGCGTCTTATGGAGCGAAAAATACGGTATTCTCCTGGCGTGCCCACAGATAAGGCTCGGCGTGCCGGCTGTGGCACGCGTGCCACGGGTTCGCCATCACTGCTATAGGGGCTGTCTGCCTTCATTTAAAGCACTGCGCAAACTGCTGGCACTATATACAGCCCTTATAATAACAAAAATGCTAAAGATATTGCTGTAGACTGTATCACGTGCCAGAGAGGGAAGTATTCATTCTTTTCTTGCAAGAGCAATGCTTTCCCTTTTTTATGGGTAGGGGGGAGGGGTGTTAGAATGCAGAAGCAGAATGCCTTTTGGTTAGGATAATTCTGAAGATTCTGGGGGCTGTGTATCTCCCTGTCAGACGTCAGCCATGAAGAAACCAGAACAAAAGCACAGGAATTGCTTTCAGTTTGTTACAGGAAGCAACCGAAGACGGAACGATCGCGACCTGCACAGTTCGCCAGGGAAACATTTGGAATACGGACTCATAGCCGGCTGCTGCTAGTGACCTCACCCCGGAAGTATATTTTATACTGTGGGGTACAATATTTCTTCCCCCAAGGTGATTGGGGAGAAGTCGGGATGTTGAGTAATTTACGGCAAGCGTTCAAAAATAACCCGAACCTGCGGTATGGAGTACCCATGGTGGTGAGTGCAGATCCCAGGGGAGGTATATCAGGGGGATAGGGGGGCTTCTGCTCCAGGCAGATGTGTAATTGCAGTTGTATCATGGCTGTGTGTTCTGTCTGCATTCAACCTGTTATAATAAAATGTAGCCTCAGAACCTGGATAGTGCCTGTGAGACCAGAGGGAGCAGTGTGAGACCAGCACAAGTCTAATAAACACCTTGCTGTCCTTGAACCCTGCAATCCTGAGCTGCCCCCCCTCCCCATTCTCCATCTAGAGACCTCTAGGAAGGTGTCCATCTACCCTTCACTGAAGGAATCACACGTTTGGAACAGTGAAGATTCAGGCTGCATTCACACTTCGTGGTTTGGGATCCCAGATTGCGTGGAAATCGCAGCACAACATGCTGCACGCAAATGGGTGCCTTTATTCTTTAGGCCCCATTCACCTTATCCATTTCAGCTATGCAATTTAGACATGTGATTTTTTTCACATGATTCTGGGTGTCACATAATGCGCTGCCTTACGCATTTTTGTTACCCAAAAAGAAGCTCCTGCTCCTTTTTTTGGCAGCAAGCTTTGCATTATTTTTAAAGGCTTGTTTTCTGTGATTGCTGTGCAACAATCATGGCAGAATCGCATTACATAACATTGCATTTGGGGTGCCAGGGAAGAATAATGGCACGCAGCGCGCTGTGCTGTGACTGTCATGTGAGTTGGGATCATGGGCGGAACCCAAAGTGGGAATCGATCTTTAAAGCTTGATCATACATTCTTTTTTGTGCTATGCTGGTCTGCACAGATGAACACAGGCTTAGCGCAGACACTTAGAAAACCTTTGTCCTCAATGCTTCTTGTTTACGCTAAAATGCTGTTGAGGTGAGTTGCATTGCATAAAAATGCAGCAAAACCATTGCAATGTGCTGCATATACTTGACTTAAGTGTCATTTGTGACACCTCAATAAAGTAAAAATAAATAAATAAAAAGTGCCTTGAATTGTAACAGCACAACGCTGCGCCCCTCACCACCCCAACACAAATCATTTTATCTTTCAGGTTGATGTGAAGGAGCCATTGTAGCTAGTGATGCACCCAAATGAAAATTCTGGTGCCGAAACCAAAAATTCAAGATGCACTTGGCCAAAAAATGGAAATGGACAGTTTATAAAAATTAATGTATTTTTCAAATGCAATTTATTTTGGAAACAATACACTTTACTGATAAAAAAAAGAAAACACAATATATACTCATTGTTTTTTGTAAAATATGAAAGCTGTTGTTATGCCGAGTAAATAGATACCCAACATGTCATGCTTTAAGATTGCGCATGCTCTTGGAATGGCGTCAAACTAAGGTACTGAAAAATCTCCATGGGTTTACGCTTTAAAAATTTCTGTAGGTTACCAGTTTAAAGTTACAGAAGAGGTCTCTAGAACTCTAGAATTATTGCTCTTTCTCTGACATTCATGCCGATATCTTGCATGTGTGGTTTGAACACTGCTTACATATGTGGGCTTGGCATACGTATGTGTTCAGCACTGCGCACGAGCACAGGGGGACGTGGGGCACTTTAAATGTTTTAAAAATATATATATATTTAACTTTTTTTTACTCTGTCCCCCCTTTTTTTGTGTTTAATACCTTTTATTCCTACCACAAGGATTGCATGCATCCCTTGTGATAGGAATAAAGGTGATTAAAGAAAACAAAAAAAAGGGACAGTGTAAAAAAGAAAAAAATTGCCCATGAGCATGCGCAATTTTAAAGCATGCATCCCTTGTGAAAGAAATAAGCAGTGACAGTTCCTCTTTATGGAAAGATATGGGGTCAATAAGACCCCACATCTTGCCTCTGCAATGTAAAGCATTAGATCAAAAAAAGCATTGATCTAGTGCTTAACCACTTCCAGACCGGACACTTTTACCCCCTTCCTGACCAGGGCAATTTTCAGCTTTTAGCGCTATCACAGTTTGAATGACAATTGCGCGGTCATGCAACACTGTACCCAAATGAATTTTTTACCATTTTTTTTAGATAGATAAAGCTTTATTTTGGTGGTATTTATTCACCACTGGGATTTGTATTTTTTTTGCTATGTAAATGAAATGTCAAAAAAATTTTTTAAAAAGTGTTTTTTTTATAAAATTTTGCAAATAAATAATATTTCATCATAAATCTTAGCCAAAATTTATTCCGTTATCTTTTTAGTAAAAAAAAAAAAAATCCAAATTAGTTTATAAGCAAAAATTATAATTTTTAACATTTTTTTTACATTTTTATTTTATTTTTTTATATTATTATTTTTTTATTTTTTTATTTTTTTTTTACATACTGTCACCCTAGCAGTACAGTGTCACCATGGTGACACTGTACTACTTGTGAGGGGTGATAAAGATTTTTTTTTTTTACACTGATTGCTTTTACACCCATATAGGATGTAAAAGCAATCATTTCTCTTTCTCTCTGTGTGCATTCCTGCACTCATTGAGAAATACAGAGTGAGCTGTGATTGGTCACAACTTGTCACATGGTACAAGGCTTTTGTGAATAGCCTTGTACCATGTGACCTCTGTGATCATTCACAGATTTCACACATAGTAAGCAATGATGTCACAAGTGACATCTTGCTTACTACTTTGCATGTGATCACTGATTGGCCAATCAGTGATCACATGATCGGGACCTCGTACAGAGGTCCCGTCCGATGATCGGTGTTTCACTGTGTCCGGAGGACACAGCGGGCACCGGATCGCGGTGCTGCGCGCTCCCAGGGAGCGCGCACAAGCAGGGTGCGGGGAGGCCGTTTATAGACGGCCACCCGACCCTGCAGTGCCACCGTCCGGCCGTTTATATACAACGGCCGGTTGGGAAGTGGTTAAAAAAAAATGGCCTTGTTTACAAGGCACCGGAACCGGAAGTGACATAGTGGCGTCATTCCGGTCCTCCAAGGGCATAGAGATGAGTGGAGGCCATCTTTCCTTCACTTATCTCTATGCTCAGCGCCAGGATCGTTCGATGGTTTCTCAGGTAAGGCTGAGAACCACCGAGCATTGGCGAGTGGGGTTATTTTTGGCACCTGTGTCGGTGCTAATTTTCACATCAGCCAAAGGCCAACAGGATTGTTTTCGACCGAAACGTTTCGGCTACCGAAATTTCAGTGTATCACTAATTGTAGCTGTGGTTTCAGGGTTGAGGTGGTGCCCTCCCATCATTATTATGGTGATAATTCTCTTAGGGGACCATTTATAAAGCAGTGGTATAGCCTTGCTGTAGTCATATCACTGCTTTAGGGTCCATTCACACCGTATTTGTTGCACAATACAACATCCAACACATGGATGCTAGAAATACAATGCTTCATGATTAGGATAGTCTGCACCATCATGCTGAGTCACACCGCATTTATTTGCGCTGAAAATATAAAGCATGGTCTACTTTTTTGAGTGCAGTGCAAGTGGAAACATGTATCAATGCAAAGCATTAACATAAAACATTAACATGTTGAAATTTGACTTCTTCTACTACTATTTTTAATTAACCACTTTTGGGCCACCTGCCCACAATGTATTGTGGACAGGTGGCAGCTACAGGAGACCTGTACGTCAATGATCTGTTGCCGACACGGGTGCACTTCGGGCTTGCAATCCCCCCCCCCGTGGATCCAGCAAAATGAGAGCCCTGGTAATCAGGACCTGGTGATCATGTGATCGCTATTCCATCAAACAAAGGTTTTATGAATCAGTCTGATTTTTATAAAGATTCATAAAAGCTTTGCTTCTGTTCTGGAGAGCTGTTATTGGTTCACAGCTCTCACATGACACATGGGGCCAATCACAGCACTCAGCACAGCACCATGTGACCAGCTGGAGCAAGTCACAGATCACTATTATATTGAACTGTCATGAACTTAACACATTCATGACAGTTCAAAGCAAGCTTTGCAAGATGTGCCTGGAGGAGCCCATCCCTCCTTAAAGGTACAGGGACGCATGTGACATAAGTGTTGCTGGGAAATCCTTTGTTTATTTGCCATGTGCATAGGCCTTCCATGTGCACCTTACTGCTAAGGCTGGGTATAGGTTGGGACGGTTGTAATTTTTTGTGTATTTGGCTAATTTGGATGCAGGGACGCACTGGATGCCTTTGCTGTCATTCTGGTATAGCTGGGCCTTTAAGGAGGGATGGGTTGCTCCAGGCGCAACTACCCATGACCTATCCATTGATCTATGTGCTCCTACTATGGAGGCTCTTAAAATTTTAGAGTTAGGTTCACAATATACAGAGGACCCTTGACGTAGTACTGTGCTTTACGCATGTATTTGCAAATGTGTGCAAACAAAAACCTCTGTTTTTAACGCAAACTGTTAGGGCCAAATTGGTTGTTTTGCAGGCTGGCTGGTAAGTGTTGCTGGGAAATCCTTTGTTTGCGATGTGCATTGCCCTTCCATGTGCACCTTACTGCTAAGGCTGGTTATAGGTTGGGATGGTTGCCATTTTTTTGTGTAGTTGGCTAATTTGGATGCAGGGACGTACTGGATGCCTTTGCTGTCATTTTGATATAGATGGGCATCACGTGCGTCCCATGACCTATCCATTGATCTATGTGCTCCTACTATGGAGGCTCTTGAAATTTTAGAGTTAGGTCCACAGTATACAGAGGACCCTTGACGTGGGACTGTGGCTTACGCATGTATTTGCAAATGTGTGCAGACAAAACCCTCTGTTTTTAACGCAAACTGTTAGACATGGCCAAATTGGTTGTTTTGCAGGCTGGCTGGTAAGTGCTGCTGGGTGGCGGGGGTGGGGGCCCTTCTTCCACCTGAAAAAGTAGTTCAGTGGTTTTAAAGCAAATTCCAATTCTATGCTTGAATGTAGCTACATACATAGGAAGTTTTCCTGTGTTGTTCAAGAATTTCCATACCATTAACACCATTCTCGTTTTCAACATGGTACGAACATTCGGAAGAAACAAAATCAAACGATTGCTCGTCTGATTTTCTAATAATGTGTACTAGGCTTTAGATAGGAATGGTTTGATCTGTGAGATGTATTGGCCCTCAAGAACTTCTCAAATTCGCTCCTGACCTGATTAAGGAATATCTTTGCAGTCCAGACTGGGAAATTCTGCAAGAGGTACAGGAGTTGAGGTAGCACATTCATTTTTAGTACACTATTTCTCCCGAACCAGGAAAGGAGAACTGTCTACCACTTTGCAGTCTTGGTGAAGGAAATTGGCAGTGAAAATGTCTCCTATGGAGGGTGTGGGAAAAATACTCAAATATTTTTTACTTGTCTGGGCCCCTTGGAACGGAAATGGGGCTTTGAGATCATTGAAGGTTGATGGGTGAGACATTGATGTTCAGTGCTTCTGATTTTTGAAGATTTATTCAGAAATTTGCAAGGGTACTATCATTTTAAAATTCTGCTAACAGGTTAGGCAGGGAGATCAGTGGTTGGGTTATGAAAATAATAAATCATCTGCATATCTTGCTATTTTGTGTTCCCCATATTTTATTTCTGTTCTTACTGGGATTTGCCCGAATCTGGCATAGTAATGGCTCCACGGTCAGTATAAAAATACGGGTGGTCGGGGCAGTGGGCAACCCTGCGTGGTTCCATTCTGAAGCTCGAAGGACTCTGATAATATGTTGTTGTGGCTTCTCTTTTAAATAACACATATTCCAGTGAAAAACACATTGCACTGCATGAAAATACACAACTCTGTTTCAACATGGTTGAAAACCGCACGTCAATGCATTTGCATTAGCTCTACATTTAGGCTGTGAATAGGCCCTTAAAAAAAAAAAAAAACCTCCAGCATATTTATAATACACAGCGGTATGTAATGCACACATGGTTGCTGCTTTGTTTCTGAGTCTTGGAATGTGACAGTGCACTTCTCCTAGCCCAAGAGTGCTCTGTACATTGTTATGAAGAGAACAACCTGTAGGACATAAGAACTCCTGACTGTGCCCTGAATTGTGTGTAGGTGCAGTGTGAGCAATCACTGTGATGTCCTGCGCTGTGCGGAGAGTAGTGTCCATGTTCCTTGGAAGATTCAGTATATGTATGTCTAATAGTGTAGGCATCAAGTCATTGTGATGACACAGGCATTGTTGGCAAATATGCCCCCCAGACTCTGCCTAAACACAAGACAGAGCCAACTGCTGTTACTAGACATTTTCCATATCTTATCCACAAATTACAAGTGCTTTGATTTTCTGGAGAAAGCAAGGATCTTTTAGTCTTCATGCACACTGGATGTTTTTACAGCGGCTGTTTTTGGCTTTTGGCAGTTTTTTTCTACAGCCAGTAAACTCTGCAGCATGTAATCCTATGTGTTCATGCACAGATAGGCTGTAATCAGTGTTTTTTGGCTGAAAAACGTGGCAAAATTATGTTTTTGGACTTTTTTTGAGCATAAAAAAAAGTATTTATTTCTTGGTAAAACAAACGCTAAAAAACACGGCTAAACACTAATGCAAAAATGCCGAAAAATGTGCGTTTTTAATGTGACTTTACACAGCTAACGCTACCAGTGTGCATGGAGCCTTAAACTGAAAGCAATATTAACTACCTCCCACCCGCCATATAGTAATATGATGGATGCAAGGTGGTTCTCTCGTTCTGGGAGGACGTCATAAGACGTCCTCCCATTCTAACCGCGCGTGTGCAGCTCCCGGAGCACGCAGCGCGGTGATCGGCAGTGCGCTGTGTCCCTCAGACACAGCGGGTCACCGATCCACGGAAAGAGCCGAAGATGTCGGCTTGGTCATGTGATCAGCTGTGTCCAATCACAGCTGATCACATGTAAACATGGAAATGCCAGTTATCGGAGAGGAGAGCCGGTAATTGGCATTCCTCGGAGGGGACATGTACACTGATCATTAGAGCACTGATGATCAGTGTGCCTTGATGAACAGTGTAGCCCCAGCAGTGCCACCTGTCAGTGTCAATCAGTACAAGCTGTCAGTGCTCATCAGTGCCACGTGCCAGTGCCACATCAATGCCACATATCAGTGCCTACCAGTGCACATCAATGCCACATATCAGTGCCCATCTGAGCTGCCTTTCAGTGTCACCCATCAGTGCCAGGCAGTGCCACCTATCAGTGCTGCCAATCAGTACCACCTATCAGTGCCAGTCAGTGCCACATATCAGTGCCGCCTTTCAGTGCCCATCAGTGATGCCTGTCAATGCCCATCAGTGCCACCTACCAGTGCCTCCTCATCAGTGCCATCTATCAGTGTCCATCATTGCAGCCTATCAGTGCCCATCACTGCAGCCTCATTAGTGCACATCAGTGAAGGAGAAAAAACCACTTATTTACAAACTTTTATAACAAAAACTAAGAAAATTTTTTTTTTTCTTCAAAATTTTCAGTGGTTTTTGGTTTGTTTAAGAAAAAATAAAAAAACCAGAGGTGATTAAATACCACCAAAATAAAGCTCTATCTGTCACAAACTATACAAATTTCATATGGGTACAGTGTTGCATGACTGCGCAATTGTCATTCAAAGTGCAACAGCGCTGAAAGCTGGAAATTGGCCTGAGCAGGAAGGGGGTATAAGTGCCCTGTAGGTTTGTGGTTAAACCCAAACCGAAAACAAAACATGTATTATTTTGCAGCTTACCAATCATTAGATGTAGTAGTTGCATACGTTTTCTTTGGCTTCTTTCCCTCTATTTTCACCTTGTGATCTGGCCAGCAACAAACCTCCTGTATTATTGAGACACCAATCTAGAGGAATGCACCAGGACACAGCAGACAGCAGAATTGTCAGTCGGGGGGAGGGGAGTGTTAAATGTATTAGCAGATTTGAATACAAATATGAAATTGAAGCCAAACTCCATTTAACACTTTACAGTATAATCCATTACAGCAAACCATGTTTCCTTTTGGTATAAAGATTGTACTTGAATAAATGAAATCTGATAACTTTAATCACCCCTGCCAGTGGTAAATGGATGGTCTCTTCCATGTAAGTTGATGCATTCTGCTGGAGAGCTTGAACTTCTGAAACACAGCAGAGTTGCTGGCTGAATCACCAGATGAAAATAGAAGAAAGGAAGTATAAAAATGGAAACTTAATGCAGCCATCACATCTAAGAATTGGTAAGCTGCAATATAATGTTTGCTTTTAGGTTTAATACTGCTTCAAAATGTAGTGGTTAGTATACAGATATATGACTGTTCCAAGGGTTCTTCTTTTATGTACAACTTTAGGTTAACCACTTCAATACCGGGCACTTTCTCCCCCTTCCTGCCCAGGTCAATTTCCTGCTTTCAGCGCTGTCGCAGTTTTAATGGCAATTGTGTGGTCATGCACCACTGTACCCATAGGAAAGTTTTTTATTTTTTTTTTTCACACAAATAGAGCTTTCTTTTGGTGGAGTTTAATCACCACTGGGTTTTTTTATTTTTTGCTAAATAAGTGAAAAAGACCAATAATTTTGAAACAAAAAGGAATTTTTCTTCGTTTCCGTTGCAATTTTTCTTCATAAATGTAGGCCAAAATGTATTCAGCTACATTTATTTGGTGAAAATAACCCAAATCAGTGTTTATTATTTAGTCCGTCGGAAAGCTATAGAGCTCACAAACTATGGTATATATCTGAAAATTCATCAATCCACATGTATTGATCTCATTCCTAGAGCCCCCAAAATGCCAGGACAGAACAGATATCCTCCAAATGACCCCTTTTTGGCAAGTAGACAGTCTGCAGTATTTAGTAAGAGGCATGGTGAGTTTTTTGAAGTTGTACTTTTTTGTCATTTTTTGGAAAATGATTATGTTTAAAAAAAAACAAACAAACATGCTATCACCAGTACAGTAGAGCGTCGTCATATAACTGGTGTGGCGATGATCAGGGACACTGACTGATGACCGTATGTAAAAAAAAAGAAAAAAAAATTCATGGAAATTTTTATTTTAATTAACCTACTGGACACTTTTACCCCCTTCCTGCCCAGGCCAATTTTCAGCTTCGGCGCTTTTGCCCTTTGAATGACAATTGCGCAGTCATGCAACACTACTCAAATTAAATTTTTATCCTTTTTTTTAGGCAAATATAGCTATCTTTTGTTGGTATGTTAATCACCACTGGGGTGTTTATTTTTGGCTAAACAAATGAAAAAAGACTAAAAATTTTGTAAAAAAAAAAAAAAAGTTTTTCTTCGTTTCTGTTTTGTAAATAAGTGATTTTTCTCCTTCACTGATATGCGCCGATAAGACTGCACTGATGGGCACTGCCAGACATCACTGACAGCCAGCACTGATGGGCACGGATAGCCAGAATGATCGGCACTGATGGCAAGCACTGATGGGCACTATTAGCCAGCACTGGTTGGCAGTATTAGCCAACACTGGTGGGGCTACACTGATCATCAGGGCACTGATTATTGCTCTGATGATCAGTGTAGATGTCCCCTCTGAGGAATTCTGCTTACCAGCTCTCCTCACTCGCTGTCCGCATGAGGAGAAGACTGTGAATAATGGGCATTTCCTGTTTACACTGTGATCAGCTGTGATTGGACACAACTGGTCACATGGTAAAAGGGCTCTCTGATTGGCCTTTTAGTTTTGTCTGTGATCAGCTGTGTATGAAGGTGTGTACCCCTGGGGGTACGTGGGTGGTGTGGTTCTGGGAGGGTATCCATGGATTTGTACTTTATAATTAAAATGATCATATTCACATATATACTGTACAATACTACACATTTTCTTTTAAGCCCAACTGTGATTCTTGCCTGGACCACCGGGGACACTGATGTCACACATTCCAGGAGGCTGAATTGCAGGCAAGCAGCTAAACAGTCAAAATTAATATTTGGGAACTGTTTTACCTGTCAAAGGATTTGTACTTGTTAACAAGTTTTACAATTCAGGCTTCCCTGCCAGATAGCATAACCGAATCTTGACATGTACTGCAGAAATAGTACAGCCTAGCCAAGAACATCCCTCGTATACTGACAATAAAGGAGCAGCAGCATATTGAAAAGGTTATCATTCTACTCATTACTTCCTCTTTCTGTCAGCATGTTTACTCTCAGCACTCATGCTCTGCAGCAGAGGTCAATAGTTCTGTATCTTCTTTTTCCAGTCTGAGTGTTTCGATAGCTAAAATGCTACAGAATCCAGCTCAGGAACCAAGAGAACTGTGATGGAGCAACCACTCTGGTTCAGCAAGTCTGGGACCAATGCCATAGGAGCATGTACAAGTTCTCTTGCAAATCTTTTCTCTGGCAATTTGCTACCAGCAATAGGATGACTAGTGACCAAAGTAAGTCTGTGAAGATATAACCGTGCTCATAGGAATTATGTTATTATTGCATAACTTGGCTTTTATACCAGTTTAGAATCCATCAGCTTATATAGCACTGTGCAGGAGTAAAGAGAAAACAGGTGGCGCACACACCTAGTGCATTATCCAAGGTTTATTGTAAAGAGTAAAAAATATTAAAAACATACAAACGAAGCATGTATCTAAAAAGCATAGAAAAATGACGATGGCTACAACGGCAGGCAAGGTGTCCTCACTGTCAGTGCGGTCAAAACTGACGCGTTTCGGGGATGAATCCCTTTCCTCAGAGCTAATGACCGGCCTCAGAGCCATTGCCCCACAGGCATAAAGCACACTCCTACGCCATCCCACTCAGGCATCACCAGCAAGGCTCCCACTCTTCATCCATTACACATCTGCATCAGAGGCTGGTCATTAGCTCTGAGGAAAGGGATTCGTCCCCAAAACGCGTCAGCCATTTGACCGCACTGACAGTGAGGACACCTTGCCTGCCATTGTGGCCATCGTCATTTTTCTATGCTTTTTAGATACATGCTTCGTCTGTGAGTATGTTTTTATTATTTTTTTTACTCTTTACAATAAACCTTGGATAATGCACTAGGTGTGTGCGCCACCTGTTTTCTCTCTATCCAGTGGCTGATTTCCCCGTCTGAGGAGGGCTGCACCCCTGAAGCATTTCCTTTGGTTTTTGCTGTCCTGATACCCTTGGCTTCCCTTTTGGCTGTACATATCCTGAGGCACTGGAGAGTACATACGATATCCACTGTGCAGGAGTGCATTTTTTGTGAGATATTCAGTACTCTGCTTTCCTAGGAGGCCATGTGGAGGGTTAGTGAGGTTGGCAGCACCATGAAGCTGGGGTTTGAGAGAATTATTGTTAATTTAAAACTTTTAGATTGTGATTTTATTTGGCAGGTGGGTGCTCATGGATAACCAGAATTTTCAACTTCAAGAAATTCACTGTCAGAGATCCTGGGATTGAATATTCGATCACTGCTTGATCAAAAGACGTTCCATTAATGTTTTTTTCTGGCTAGTGGCAAAGCCCTCTTGCTGTAGGAATAGATTGGGAGACCAATATATCTTTGAAGCAATCTGCCAAAGGTTGACTTATCAATTTTGGTAAGACCTTTTCCTACATGGACATGGAAGGTGGCAGGTCGCCATATATCTTTAGGGTAACGGCATCTTAAATCCTGGCCCAGCGACAAACAAATTAATATTGTATGTTGTTACTCTTTCCATATACTATATTTTTTAATATACAGGTCCCCTGAGTCCTCTCATGACCTTGTAGATTCTAATGCTGTAGACAGATGCCTAATTAATGCTATTGCTCGTTCTTCCATGTTTTTTCAGGACTCTGTTACATGATTAAATAGGTGGTTTGGGGATATTTTAGACAGATGTATTTGCCTACTTTTTCCTTCAGGGTGTAGCTGATGTTCTTAGCCAGAGATTTCTCATCAGTTCAGTTTTTCAGCAGAAACTTTACTTTGTAAACTGGAACAGGCTTGAAAAGTAAATGCAAAACATGACAGATATTTAGCAGCTTAAAGAGGAACTACACTGCACCTAAGCAGCACAAACCATAAACACCATTTAATTCATTTTTAATATTCAAAGCAAACTCCCCCTCATCCATCCATGTCTCCATGCTTTATTTTGCTGAGAAATAGCTTTGAAAAAACAGCCCTCTAGCAATTCTGGCCGTGGCCATCTTAAGTAAGGGCAGATAAATTTACTTTGGAATGCCTTTACCTGGAATCTGCAATCCATCTGCCTTAGCTGAGAAAGCCCCTCCACCCCTCTTGAAGACTCCTGGGATGTATGACATCATTTGCTTTGGCATGGAAACC